CCACATGTCTGAAACTCAAGAAGGTAAATGAAGATTATCAAAAACAGTGAAGCACTCATATGAATTCTCTCAGAGGATCAAAAACAAGACACTGGAAGAAACGGAATCATTGGCAAGTTTCGATGTACAATCTATGGACACAAACGTTCCTGGATAAAAAGCGCTGACGGCCCTGGTAGAAATTTTGGACTGAGCATATAATGTCCTAGAAGGGAAACGTTAACACTATTAATCAAATTGACAATAAATACTATCTACTTCAGATTCAATGGCAACATCAATAAAGAGATAATTGGATCCTGTATGGGAAATGTATATAGGGACAAATTAGAAGAGAATTTCAAGGTGTCACCGCTGCAACCAAGAGTTCTTGTGCGGTACCTGGATAAACACGCTGCAATATGGTCGCATGGAAGACTCACGATAAATCTAAGATAATGTGTAATTTTTTTAGCAAATATTTATCCGTTGTGCAACCCAAAGGGTCATTTTCATTAGTCTCAGACTGCAGTTTCAAACCCTTGCATCGCCCAATCACGACCCTAAAAGAATTCAAACGTACTTTATTTTCCGTCAGTCATGCTAATCGCGAAACTTTGTGGGATTATGGTCGCAGGCTCTAGGAGGTAACATATTTGGCTGTAAAACTGCCAATTCGTGATTCGTGATTCGTGTCTTGCCGGGAGCGCTGATGAGTTTAACCTGAACGATAAATATTACTTGGGATGCATAATAAAAATGGAAACCAATGCCTACTCTTGAATTCACCCTGAATACAATATATGCCAGAATCTTTAGATGAAAAGAGACATCCTGACAATGGCACAACTTTTTTTCTGACAAGTTTTGTTCCGTCATATAGCCCCAATGTCAGTTTAACTCTTATTACTCTCATGAATGGCTGGTGGGATTCGGGCTCGGAGGCAAGTAAGCAATCAAATAAGAGGTCCTAAGCAGGCAATAACAGAACTTTATAATTTATCTTCTATGAATATCTGACACAACGTAATTAAGTGAGAAAACAAGTCACTTATTCCTTTTAGCGAGTGTAGTCAAAGTATAAATAACCGCAACTTAAGCGATTACTATACAACGAAAGGCGATCGCGATCATGCTATAGGTCACACCAACTTGATCTTCAGAATAACGAATAAATAGCATAGTTCGTTAGCAATCCTATCCTTATTAGTTGTGGCCAAGTAGCCTCTAAAAAATAAATATTCAATTCAATCACTTAAGCCGACGAAAGTGAGTTAGAAATGTGTTGATGTCATTATGCCAGAATGACACAACATAAAGCAATTATCAAATTAGCGAGAAAAGAGAATAGTGGTAAGTTTAAAAATAATTTGACCTAACCTCATCAAAGCGAAAAGAATAAAGTTCTCATTCGAAAATTGCAAAAAGTATCATAACCTACTTACACAAAAAATAAGTAACGTCGCCGATAGCAACGGCGAACGCATGCTTATTTAATCCACAACTTAACAATAAATGTGATATGCCTGATACTCATGAGACGACGTCAAAACTCCAGTTTAGCTTGAATATAATGACCGTTTTGGAGGTAATGCTTAGTGCAAAATTCAATGGCTCCATGAAGCCTGGTTGTATGAAAAAATTTATCTGTCAGTCTCTCATTCACCTTAAGAAGCCAAGGCCGACAAAGTTATTAATCGAGTACAATTTGGTTTACTTCATTTTCACAACTTGATCGGAACAAAGTCCCACGTCATCTACTCAAAAATAGTGTGATTTTCGGCTCCGGACCTTTGATTTGGAACATTCACGAACGGTTCGCCTGCATCAACATTGAGAAGCGCTACCTGTGAAGGCAACACCCGTAATCAACTTTCTGGTCAACCGTTGTGGCACCTTTGCTCTCCCATGTCCTACTTCTTAGAACTCTATCCTCATCCTTCAATCCCTCATAGTATGGCAAAATTTCACATCAATCCGATCTGTATGGTCGTGTGTCACGAGGTTTCTCTCGAGCCTGTCACCTGGTGGACTAAGTGAGACATTAACATTCTCCACCGAATTCGCCATCCATTCTAAGAGACTTTTAGTCGAAATTTGTTCTTCCGTTTGGCCATCCGCTTCACCCAACCTTTCCCGCTGAACTGTCTGACCATCTCCTTGAGTAGGTCAAACGAAAGAAAACCATCTTTCGTTTGTAAGCCAGTTTTCCAGTCCTTAAACAAAACAGGGCGAACACACATCATAAAGAAAAGAAATCATTTTAATTACAACCGCTCATCACGCACACCGCTTACGTTCAATTCTGGCGGTTTCAGTCGAACCTTAGATCCACGGACGCTGAAGCGTAGCAGGTCGTCGGCAAGCACAGACTCTATGACCTCGTTGAGATTGAAGTTGTGCTGCGAGAACTCGGGAAGAGTGATGAGTTCATCAATCAACAGGAAACCTCCTGATGATGGAAAATTGAGAATGAATTTGCTCATATTTATGGCAACGCAGTAAATGGGCAACATGTAAATGGTAAAATGATTCGAGGGTGATTGGAGCCTGGTAGAATAGCAGACTATGTAAAACGATATCTTGCCGAACAGCCCATTTTCTAACTGCTTCGTGTGGCGTTTTAGCATCAGAATGGATGGCTGAGCACAATCACTTCGACTCAAAGGTTGATACTAAACTTCTTCTCAGTCGTGACGTCGCCAATTCATGATCCACTAATCGCAGTGGCTCTGGCGGCCAAACATTCCAGGGACTCAGGTAGTCGCTTGTCATTTACTCGAACTACATCAGAAGCAATAACAAAATACTCGTGTCTAAGCTCACTAGTGCTGACAAGCAAATCAGCAGCATAGTCTATCCACACACAGGAAAGGTGGGCTCCTTGTAAAATGGATATAGCTCCCAGCAATATTGGCACCTATCCGGAAACAGTGAGAAATTAGCAAGAAATAACGTTCGCGGTTTGTCGTTGCAAGCAATATAAAGAAAAAAAAGAATTATCCTGACAACCCTTTGCGCGCTAATTTAGAAATTTAAAAAAGGCCTTGGTTTGGGCAGAATGCGGTGCATAATCCCAACCGGTTTTTACCAGCAGAAGTACAAAAGTATTTTCGAATTCTGCGAGGTTGAAACTGCAATGAAACCAAAATGAGGATGTATTTTGGCATAAAAGAAACATTATTGAGATCATTTCCACCTCGAGTGAAAGTGTTTGGTAAAGAGAGTCAAAATTTGAACCCACCAGACGAAAGATGATTTCGTTTGATCAGCTGTCGATTGAGTTTACTGGAACATTCTTGCAAACGCTTCTTCCGAGGCAGTTTTCTTAGATTCCAGTGAAAATATGCTACACTTTCGTCATTCGTATGACGAGCAGCATGATAGCAGGAAATCATTCTTACAACGATATTCGAGGAAACGAGTCAAGAAAACTCGTATATGCGAACAGATGAAAGCACTTAAATACAAACACACACACACTAACCTGTTTGTCGACTCGTTAACTGAAATAAACTCGTTCGTTCGTCTAATCTTCACTTACGTTTGGGCTTGTGATATTGGCTATTTTGTGTATGTAATGCTGATGTCATGGGAAGTGTGATAGTCCCAACACGACACGAGGCTAATCCAGTCTACTTCTCTTGCTCAGTGGCTCTTCCTGCATCCTCTCTCTCTCTCTCTCTCTCTCTCT